GTATGTGGTGCTGAGGATCGAACCCGGGCTGCATGCATGCCAGGCGAGCGCGCTACCACTTGAGCCACATTCCCAGCCCCTCTCATTTATTTTTGTACAGAATGTTCTCCTGGTGTTCCTCAAAGATCAATTAAAAAAATAAACACTCTTCATCAGCCACAAGTTGGTTTTGTTTGTTTTATGAGGCTGGTCAGATGTGGGTCTATATAAGGCAGCTCTGGTTATTTAAGTTCAGCCATTTCTTGAAGCAGTTTTGTAAAGAACATTGTGATTCTCGATCCCAGGGTGTATCATACATAATATTTTAAAGTCTATTTTGAAACACATAGCCAACGTCTAGACTACAAGGAGATTCTCTCTCTAGTAAGGGTTGATTCAGTTCTTGTTTGGTTGGTCAGAATTTCAAACTTCCTAAATCTAAACGCTTGATCTCCATCAAAGCCTTTTTGTCTTTATATTATACCTTTCTGTATTAGGTATTTGTTTTGTTGAGACCCTTTGAGGACACATAAGTGGCTAGATATTGCTGTGAGTTTATTCTCGTTCCTTGAAGACACACATATGCGACCATTTTTGTTCTAAAAATCATCTGGGAAATTAAACAAAATTGAGATGTGAGTTGGTGCTGGGCATGGAAAAACTTTCATGGCCCCCAGGTGGTCCTTGAGGAGATACTTAATTCATCTTTGTTGCAGAGAGGACAATGAAGGGCCTTCCTCTTGCTGAGCCTTTCTGAAGTTCTTAGTTGGTGCCTGCTGACTCAGTCAGTCCCAAGGCTGAGTTGCAGTTATCTGAAGCTAAGTTAATTGGCTCAGGCCTTAGCTGCTCTGAAGAAGTGCAGGAGCCCTGTGCTTAGAAGTGAAGGGACATGACATTCAAGTTATTTTTAGTTTGGTTTAACCTTCATTTCAACATTTGGAATTTTGGCCAAACTAGGAGTTGCAAGGTTTTTATTTTTAATTGAATTTTATATTTTTTAGGTTGCTTTCTGTTGCTTTTCTTTCTGAGCTCATAGCTTCTGGAAATTTCTAGTTAACTAGTACAAACAGTTGTGGTTTGAAGAGGGCTGATCTGCATCAGAACTACCTGGGTGTTTGTCAGAAAAGCAAATTCTTGGCCTCAGATGTCTTGATCAATAGTGTTTAGGGTTTTGCATTTTAAACAAGCATTAAGGTTAGAGCCACCACTGTGATGTCTATAGCACTATGTTTTAAATTTTAACATGCAGATTAAATGCCTCAGAGTCTTGTTTGAGTCGGTGGGTCTAGGGTGGGGCCCGAGATTCTTGATTTCTATCAAGATCCCAGATGGTGATGTGGCTCCTCATCCTTGGACGGTTATCTGAGTATCGGTTATCTGAGTATCGAGGGTCTTTAGCATATTTATTTATTTCAGGGAGGATAATGATTTTCTGCTCATAGTTCTCTTCTCTGTACATTTTCTCTATGATATATACACATTTTTAATGTTTCTGAAATTGGAATTCATTTTTTTCTTATATCAGAATGCAACTCGTATTCAATTCAATTTGCTCAATTCTCATATTATTCAGCGGAATTTGAACAGAAAGCTGCCATTCATTTTGTAATTGTGCATATTTAACATAGTTTCTTTTTGTTTCCCAGAATCAGATACTAAATTGGTGGATGCATTTAATAATTGATATTGTCCTATAATTGAGTAAATGAAACAGTTCATGCTACCAAATTGGAAAGTGTACCCATGGTAATAGATATTTAGGAATCCTTTTGTTAGAACTGTGTAACAATGTAATAGATTGATTATAGATTATAAGTACTTTGTGAATTTACAAAACTGGATGTTTTTTAGGAGTTCATCAGCTCTACAAAGAGACCGTATGCAAAAGAATTGGAAACCGTGGACTTCAAGGATAAACTGGAAGAAACGAAAGGTCAGATCAACAGCTCCATTAAGGATCTCACTGACGGCAAGTATACTTTACTTGTTCTGCTGAATAACAGACCTTCCTTTCTCCTGAATCCTTGAGCCACTCATGAAAATTGAGCATCTGGAGGATTCCTTGGATGCTTTTATCCAGGCTCAATTTTGTCCATCAAGACATGTCAACAACTTGCCTTTCTAGAAATTTCTTGTATCATCTCATCGCTTGGCAGAAATCAGTGGAGTTTCAGTTTTGGTCTGCTTTGCCTTGCCCTCTGTCAAGCTGCCACCCGCCCCAGTGGAGCCACAGCTGTGCCTCTAACAGAGTGGGGTTTTGGGCAAAGCATGAGGCCAGTTTTAAAGTCTTATAGTCTAGAAATGGAAGGATTGGTATAATTTGATGATCCTTGATATCACTTCTGGCTCAAAAATTCTACCAATTTATTAAAGAGGACAAAAGGTCTTATTCACAGATAAACACAGGAAGACAAAATGAGAAAACAAACGCAGTGGAGGTACATCCTGAACCTCGCCATCCTTATGCTGCTGTGCTGCCTGATGGTCCCATGTCCCTTGGCAGCACCTCTGCTCAGTGCTTCAGGATTCTCCCTGTTTAGACCCCTCCACCCTCCATTAAACCTCCCAGTGAATTGCCTTCCTTGATAGGAAGAAGTTGGAAGTGAAGTGACTTGGATGGCAGGCCAATGACTATGTCCTTTTCCAGGGGCTATATTTATAGTGTTAGTTTAGGGAGGAAGCCTAAGGCAGATCCTGCTGGTGTGGAAGGATACTCTTCCGGGGATACTTCCTTCGTGAATGAGCAGAGCCCAGAGTGGTCTGCCTCTGTGCTGACTCACGAATAACAAGGTCCACCTGTAAGGACATGGAATCGACAGGAACTCTGGAGTCATTTAAGACCTAGGTTCAAATCCAGGCACTACAACTTATCAACTATGGCATTTGGACAGGGAGCCTCAATTTAAGGAACCGTAAAACTTCAGGGGAGAGGGGCGAGGGGCATGCTATTTAATCTATTTAATTTTCATGTGGTTGTTGTTAGAATCAAATTAGATAACATATACCAACAAATGGTAGCTATAGATACATACACATGTACACACACACATACCTACCTATATTTATATTATTGAAATAAATTTTCTTGATTTCTTCTGTAAAGAGAAACTTTGATATATATATATATATATATATAATACTAGGTTGAGCACATCTTTAAAAATTATTAACAAAAGGCAGCTCCTGCTTCAATAGCTGTGGTATAACTTTACTTTTAGAATTCCTAAGCAATTGTATTTTCTCTCAAAGAGACGTTTGTTTTAAAATCCTAATGCATTTGAGGTTTTTGACTGGAGAAGGTAGTTGAATGAAAAAACTTCTAAATTTGGAAATGGAGGCTCAGGATTTAAATTGAAGCTTTGCCACTTACTGGATTAAAAACATTTTTATTCTTCAAGTTTCTCCAATAAAACGATTATGTGTTCAACACACACATATCTGGCAGGACCAGATACATAATTTGCACAGTCCGTGAGAAAACAAAAATGCAGGATTTCAATATAATCCTTTACTGAAAATTTTATTAAAATCTTAAGAATGTGATAGCAGAACATGAAACCAAGGACAGGGTCCTTTTCATATGGTCCAAGCCCAGGAAGTGGGATCCAAGAATTGATGTGAAAATCTTTGTAAAAATGTCAAGTGCTATTCAAATATGGGGATTTCTTTGTATTACGAGATTATCACTGTTGAATTGCTTTGTCTGTTGAGAATTTGAGAGCCATAATAATTGCAGCTGTGATTAAGCTTCTGGTGATTAAGTTGACTCTGGGACAAATAACCTGCCTGCAAGGAGTACCCCTGGGAGAGAAGTAGAGAGACGTAGGGTGAAGGGAAGGGCCTGTCTTGGTGTCAGACAAGCTTTTCAGCTGATAGCCCCTTGGCCTCTCTGAGCCCAGTTTCTTCAACTTTAAAATGAGATGATGATCTTTGTCTTATAGGGCCATTGTGAAAAAAGTAAGATAATATATATGAAAAGGCTGAGCACAGGGCCAGGCATACAGCAAGGGACCATGAATTTGCCCAGGAGCACAAGAAAATCTGACTTGCAGTCCTATCAGGCCTTACATGGTGCCAGTCCAGCAAGCAGTAAATCCCCAGTGACTGAACATGCATGTGTGTAACCGATGTAGTTTGGAAGGGTAACTGCTGTTTTCGGTTTTCTAAAATTGTTTGCAGGCCACTTTGAGAACATTTTGTCTGACAACAGTGTAAATGACCAGACCAAAATCCTCGTGGTTAATGCTGCCTACTTTGTTGGAAAGTGGATGAAGAAATTCCCTGAATCAGAAACAAAAGAATGCCCTTTCAGAGTCAGCAAGGTATGTGGCCATATGGGATGGTTAAAGGATCCTAGCACAGATCCTATGGCAATGGAGGTGTGTGTGTGTGTGTGTGTGGAGGAGGTATCGGAATTCATTCCAACAAGGAAAATGAGGGCATGGGGCTTTAAGCAAGAAAGGAAGAGGAATGAAAAGAAAACAAGCAAACTAAATCCTTCTAGAAGAAGCCTTTGAGTTATTGTGAGACCTGGACCACTTAGGAATCTTTTTCCTGACTATCTACTCTATGATCTCAATTTCTCACCTATTGACAGTGAAGCACATGATTTGAATATGAAATTAATTAACTAATTTCACTGCTGGGGATGGAACCCAGGACCTCACAAATGTTAGGCAAGCTGTCTATCACCAAGCCACACCCCCAGCCCAGTTTGGATATTTTAATGTCTAACTTAAAAGATGGTTTGAAGCACTTCTTGACTTTCTGAAGAAAAAAGTCCAGCTTGCCCATCTGCACCAGGGCAGGGTGAGAAGCTTGTTTTGCAGGGCGGTCCCATTAATAGCGTTGAGGTGACTATGTGAAAAATAACTCAGATATAGGTGAAGCATTTCTTTTGTAAAAGAAATGAAATAGCTGAGACTGGAAAATTGACCCACTTCATGGGAGAACCTAGGACAGCGCAGGGATCCATATGAAGATGTGGTTTGGTGAGTGGCGTGAAGAAGTTAGACCCATAGCAGTCTTTGAGTCTCTGCCATACTTGAAGGTAGCTTATTTACCCTGACGAATCTACGCATCAATTCTAATTTTTCTGAGCCATGAGCACCTGGCATCGATCACTTGTTTTTGCCTAATAAGCAGCACCTTAATGCTAGAATCCAGGAGAAAAGCCCTTTGGGATATAGGCTCATGGGACTGACTTCCGTGCCTTTTGCTTTTTTCCACGGGGTTTTAGTCATACATTGCCCCCCCTCAATTGTACTTTTTCCAGTAAAATCTAATCATTTGCGCTTTTTTGACCCTCCACTGGTGTGTGGGCTTTATCATGGCAGATGCCATGGCTTTTCTATCCCAGTGTCTGTAGTTCCTGGCAGTCTCTGACAGGCTATTAAGGTTGTCTGCAAATTTGTTGAATGAATGACCTGTCAATCCCCCAAACTCAGTTTGCAGTGCTGGGAACTGAATCCAAGGCCTCACCTACGGTAGGCAAGAGCTCTACCACTGAGCTGCATCCCCAGCCCCTTAGTTTGTTTAAACAGTCAATATGAGACAAAACCTCATTGGGTTTTATTGGGACATTGTCCCAGGAGAGGCCAACAACCACCATTATTGCTTCTTACCTACTCAAATATCCAGGGTGTGGAGGGGAGCCAGGAGGTCCTCCTTCCCCTTCCTCTTCCTGAGCTTAGCTTCCCAACTGCAGTGGTCTTCTCAAAGCTCGCTGCTAGGGACAGGACTGACTGCACCAGAGGCCTGCCTGGGAACCAAGGACACATTGGACTCTTCACACTCCGAAGTTTTCACTTACGGTTTCTTGAGATTTAAGCATGGCTTTGGACCTTCTTAGTGTTGTCTTTCCTGTGGAGCTGAAGTGGAAGGTGACCTTACAGCCTCTACAGAGTCCTGGAGGAGTGTGGTCCACCCCTCTGTCCCATCCTGGAGCCAGCCTCCTCTGGCTCATTTGACCGGTGATTGGTTCCTTCATAGGAAGGGCTGGCAGAGGGTCCCTGGGCCTGCCGAAGTGAAATCTAAGACGTGTTTTGATGGCATCACTCTGAAGGTCCCAGGGCCACACACAATTCATTGATGTTTCATTTGCATCTTATGCACACAGGATGAAGGTGATCTCACGCAGCATTTTCAGTGCCCTGTATTTTGCCCTGTCACCTGAGGTCACGTGTGGAATTTTCATGTTAGGCATAGTTTTCATATAGGCATGAGGGTGGTGCTCATGAACTTTTGGAGTTTAGAGCATTTGGGGTTTTCAGGATAGGGGTGCTTAATCTGTATTTATATTGTATTTTCAGGGATAGTTTTTATTTAGTCCTGTTTTCAAAATATGTCTCAAAGCTTATTTCAGAAAAATGGGATTGTTGTGCCTAAATTCGGTGCTGACAAGTGAAATCGATGATGACTTTTGGAGGACACAACTCTGTGGCATGTTCAGAAACTATTGGCAGTCTAGCCTGATGGAAATTTTTAGACAAATCTGTATCTTCTTAAAAAAATGGAAGAATTATCAGTGAATTTTTAAAGCAACATGTTTTCCTATCATAATTCGCTTTCTGGTTATACTTTAGCACTGAAGTTTTCAATCATCCATCAGTCAAATATTTAGTAAACAGGTACTATCTGGTGGGATATCCCAGGACCAAGACATGATTTCTGCCATGACTATATTCCAGTTGAGGTGGGAGGTGAAAAGATAACCACAAAATATTCCTAGCACTGTGGCAAGTGCTAAGATAGAGGTATGTACAAAAAGCAAAATAAGGAAGGCATAGCTGTGTTTTGAGAGTGGTGCTGGGTAAGGTGCGGCTTACTGTTTGAAAAATCCCAGAGAGGTACAGGTTTTACTGTGATGTTATCCCTAAAGGACTGACATGAAGCTGGAAGTCTCCCCCTAAAGAGATTAGATTAACAGGAAACTATCCTGTGTGAGGTGCATATGAAGACAGTAAGTTACCCTAAACTGCTATCAGTCTTTCACTTCTTAGTATGAATTAGTTTTTCTTCAGAAACCCTTGGTAGCAGAGATAGGAGACTAGATCTTACTGGGAGCCCAGAGAGGGAAAGGCCCGCGTGGTCCCTGGAGATAGAGGCCTGAGGGTTACGGCCCTTTCACGGCCCTATTGCAAGAGGAGCGTGGAGTGTATGGAAGCTGGAGGAAGGGATTTTCAGAAAAAAGGAAAAAAAAAAAAAAAGAAGAAGCACTCTCATCTTTTAAAATCATGAAATATTTCAAGCACACAAAAATTATAGTGAATAATAAAAGAAACACCAGTGTACTTACCAACCAACTTCATGAACTTAACATTTTGTCTTACTTATTTTAGAGAGTTTTAAAAAAAAAGTCACAACAGCTGGGCTGCTGTGTGTGTCCCCCCACCTCCCACCCCGCTGGTTCTCTTCTCTTCCTCCCTCCCCAGCCATAGCTATTATTATGAATTTTCCAATCTCCTCGTTCCACTGACAAGGAAACAGAGACTTAGGTTGAGAGACTTGCTCTAGGTTGTAGCATCTGCTTGTGTCACATTTGGGACCAAGACCTGGGCTTCATATCTCCAATCCAGACTCTCCATCTGCTCAGATCTGAGTAGGTACAAGACAGGGGGAGGGCTCTCAAAGACGAACAGAGAGGGCAAACCAAATAAGGTTTTGTCCTTCTATATGCCACATCTTTTTTGATTAGGCATTTTTAAGGAAGCACTGTGTAAATAGGTATGTGGATTTGCAAGTAGAATTTACTTTGAAGTCAGCTCCACCAAGAGTTTGTTTAAAGATCTCAAAATCCCCTAAGTGTCTATAGAGACGAACTTAAAACTTTTTATATATTTTCAGACTGTCTTACTGCTAATATTTTATATATGCAAAGATAGTATTATATGTAGTTTATATAATATATAGCACATGGAATTATAAAGGACATGGATAATTTTTGAAAAGGATTTATAAACTCAACACAGGTCAATGCTTGATGGTTTGGGTGCAGTGTGGCTCGGATCCCAGAGGCTGGATCATGAGCCACAATGATTTGAAATCATATGAACAAATTTGTGTGTATATAGGTATCTTCTTATATATTTATGTATTTATGTGTGTTCCTGTGTAAGGGTGTGGTGTGTGTATTTATGTTTTTGTGTATGTATGGTGTATATATATATATATATTTGTGCTTGAAAGTAATTGCTTGTTAACGTTTCCAAACTTGTCTCCTGTAACAGACAGACGCCAAGCCTGTGCAGATGATGAACATGGAGGCCACATTCTGTATGGGCAACATTGATGACATCAATTGCAAGATCATAGAGCTTCCTTTCCAAAACAAGCACCTCAGCATGCTCATCCTGCTACCCAAGGATGTGGAGGATGAGTCGACGGGCTTGGAGAAGGTGAGGAGGAGGCAGTGCTATGTACAGGGAGGCAGGAGCCCCTGCCATGGCAGAGAGGCAGAGAGGCCCCTGGACTGTGCTGTGTGGGGCCGTGAGAAGCCTGTGGCCAACTGCCTCACACACCACTGGCTCAGTCATCTCCATGGGCTTCAGGGGCCTTTCCTCTTTAATATGAGAACAGCCAACTTTTACTTGGCACTTAGGATGTGCCAGGAACGGTGTTTCATCCCCAGGTGCATGATCTCATTTCATTCTTCCGGCAGCCCTGTGGTTAGAAACAACGAGGAAACTGAGGCACAGAGGCGTAGGTACCCAAGTCCATGGTCACAGAACTAGTCAATGATATGTAGACCCAGGATCTGAGCCTGGGAAATTGGGTACGTTCTCTCCCCTAGGTGAGGGTGCCTCCCTCATGTCAGCAGGAAGAGCTCAAATGGCTATGCGCTGCGTGGCCCGCTGTCTGGAGAACAGAAGCTTCATTTATTTCTTTATTAGCACACTGTTTTAGTTTCAGGTTTTCAGAAAAGCGAGTGGAAAGCACAGAGGCTTCCCGTATGCTCTCTTTCCCTCTCCCAATCCTGTAGTTTCTCTAGTTATTAGCATCTTGCATTAGGGTGGTACTTTGTTGTAGTTGAAAAGCCAATACTGAAATATTTTTTTGAAATTTTATTTGTTTTTTATTTTATTGAATTTTTTGGTGCATTATAATTATACATAACAGTGGGACTCATTATGCCATAGTCATACATACACATAACAGTTTGATCGATCTCACTCGCCAGTACTTTTCCTTTCCCTCCCAGCATTGATACATTATTATTAACTAAAATCCACAGCTTATCTTAGGGTTAATTTTGTGTAATAAATTTGATACACATGCACACATACACACACACACGTACACATATACACACATATATGTATACATATACCCCCACACAAGATTTCATTATGCTTCAAATTTATGTATTATGCAGGTTATTATATTATTGTTGTTTTATAATATAAAAGGTATACTTACATATAGTTTATATATTTTTATGTGATATCAATTATGATATTATTACACTTATTCAGATTGTTATAGCCACAAAGTTCAATGAAAGTGGCAGATCTATTTGCTTGTGAATGAGCTTTAATTTCCCCCTGGGCTCAGTCTCTGCCCAGCTGCCTGAGCCCCCCTGTTCCCTCTGGGACCTCCCCTGCCTGGCTTCCGTTCCAGCTCTCCTCACCTGGGCCCCAGCCCTGGGCCGTGGGCCGTGGTCTACATATCTATGAAGAGGGGTCTACCTATGAAGGGGGGCTCTTGAAGAGCAGAGGCTGTGTATGTTCCCAGTTAGGCCTCTGGTACTAACCAGTCCCCCTCTTACCTGTTACTGTTGCCTCCATCCTTTTATGACCTGAATGAATTTCTGCCCTCATTCTTCTTTGATGTATTAGTCTTTTTTTTTTTTTTATTCTCTTATTTCATGTCTTGATCTTTCGCGATTATTCGGTTGTCTTGGATTTTACCTTACTTCAAATACTCTCATAAATGTGTCAGTATTTTTCTTAAGGAAATAGAACTAAAGAAAACGGCCTTTTGAGTCTCAGAAAGGAATGTGTAAGAATACCCATTGGATGAGTTTGTGATGGCGGCCATAACAAAGAACCCCACCTGGGTGGCTTCAATAACGCACATTTATTTTCTCGCTGTTCCAGAGGCCACAGTCCTGGGGCTGGAGTGTTGGCAAGTTGGTTCCTTCTGGGGGCTTCAAGGAGAGTGGGCTTGTGCCTCTCGCCTGGCTCCTGGCGGTGCCTGGCAGCCTTTGCTGTCTCTTGGCGTGTCCACACTCCACCCTGACGTTTTCCTTCACTTTCACATAGCTTTCTCCTTGTCTGTGTGTCTGTCTCTGTACAATTTCTTACTTTTATGGAACTCAGTAAGATTAGAGCCCACCCTAATGGCCTCATTTTAGCTAATTATACCTGCAGTTGACCTTATTTCAAATAATGTCACATTCCGAGGTACTTCCCACTTTACCACCCATGACTTGAAGAATGTCTCAGAGACAGTTCAAGTTCCAATTTTAAAAAGAATAACTTTACCTTTAATTTGAGTTGTTAAATTTTATGCCATGCCCAGCCCATGGGTATTCTAGATTTCCTTACAGAGAAATTATAATAATAATCCAGAAAACTCTCATGTGTGCAGCATCATACCCCATGCATCTGTTTTCTGAAAAGCTAGTTTGTACTTTAAAGCAAACCAATTAAAACCATGCCCTCTTAACTTTCAGGGCAGAGGGAGCACTGTGGTAGGGGAGGAGGAGAACAGAGCCCGTGGCTGGTGGATCTTACAAGAGACACTGGTTCCTATCAGAAGTACTCCACCATCTCTGATGATGCTCCACCCAGACTGATTCAGAATCAGACTCACAAAAACTCTTTATGTTTTCCATCAAGCAAGGTCTCTTACAGTGGGAGATACATCAAATTAATTTCCTTTCCTTTCTGTCCTTCAGATTGAAAAACAACTCAACTCAGAGACGCTGTTGCAGTGGACCAATCCCAGCACCATGGCCAATGCCAAAGTCAAACTCTCCCTTCCCAAGTTTAAGGTGGAAAAGATCATTGACCCCAAGTCTAGTCTGGAAAACTTAGGGCTGAAAAATACCTTTAACGAAGATACATCTGATTTCTCTGGAATGTCAGAGACCAAGGGAGTGGCCCTGTCGAATGTCATTCACAGAGCGTGCTTAGAAATAAATGAAGATGGTGGGGAGTCCATTGAGGTGCCAGGATCCCGGATCCTGCAACACAAGGATGAATTTAACGCCGACCACCCATTTATTTACATCATCAGGCACAACAAAACCCGAAACATCATTTTCTTTGGCAAGTTCTGTACTCCTGAAGTGGCTTAGCCCAAGTTAAGACCCACTTGACTTGTCTCTGGATGCAGATTTCTATAAACTCTGCATCCAGAGATTCATTTCCTAAAAACAATAAATTGTTACTGTTACTAGATCAGGAAGCAGCTGGTCCTTGTCATGTGTAGCCCTCACACAACAGGCCCTTCTTTTCTAATTCTTTCTTTTGTTTTCTTTTTTTCCCCCATAAAAAAAGGACATATGCTTTTAATGAAAAGGAATTGTCTTAGAGGAAAAATATTTATTCATTATTTGTCAAACTGTCCAGGATTCTGGAGAGACATACAGTGTTCCATACAGAAATTCCTATAAGGAAGGTCTGTAGGATCTTATTGTCAGAACTTTGCCTTTCTTCACAGGGATATAGAATACTCTAGATACTCTCACTTCCTGAAAGTCTAAAGAAACTATGGTGCATAGGACCTACAAAACTTGGACACCTGTTTTCTCTACTGTAGGCACAGAAGTCCTTATGTTAAGCCTTGAGAGATACATGTATTTTCAAACTCTGAAAGTTTGGGATTTTTAGAAACATATATTGCACATCGGGTCTAGCACTTTTGGTATGTTATGGAGCTCCATTAACAGGGTCTGAAACAGTACTCTGTAAATCAACACCCTAATATTATTTCTGCAACAAAATATAAAATGTTCACATAAAATAGACAAATCAAGACTCCAGCCCATAAGTGGTCAAATTTTGCTGACAAATGAATATGTCACTAGCTTATGAAAACAGTTTGCAGAACTTTTATAGTGAAATGTTAGATAAAGTAGCTGAAATATGAGACCCCAAGGAGAAGCTCAGTTTTATTAAAAAAAAATTTGACTTTCATTTTTGAGAGCTGTCCCACCTGGTCATTTGGTTGCTGCTGGGCTGGTGGCAGGGTCTTCTAGCTGGCTCAGAATGGTTTGGATGTTGGACACCATGGGCTTGGAATACACAGGGATTCATAAATAGTCAACAAAATCATTTTATGAATGTTAAAAGAACTTGTCTCTTTGTCTAATGTGATAAATAGTGGAAGAGGAAAGGAACCTAAAACCTTTAGAAGTAAAGCTATTAAAATACTTGCAATGTTTTGACACATTTTTTCACCATATGACTATAGTTAATTTAGATTGTGACTTTGTAATTTACATTGATAGTAATTGTAAAGTGTTTCTAGTTGGCTATTTATGTTGCAGGCTCCTGTATTAATTCACTACCAAAAGGATATATTTACTGCAGATTTTGTGACAGCCTTCCTTCTATCTGTTCCTTGTAAATAGGTTTTTCCTCATCTGATGGTTCAATATTGCATTTTTCTGTGCTATTGACAATAAAATATTATTGAATTATGTGTCTTGATTTCTTTCTCACTATGTTAGAATTACTGTTTTAAAACAGAACCAAGCCATGCGTTTACATTCTTGTGTAAAAATGTTTTTTTTTAGGGATTGAGGTAAACTAAAAAGGAGTAAGGATAATTACTGCCTATTTTAGTTAGTATTCCATTGCCATGACAAAATACCTGAGAAAAACAATATAAAGGAGGAAAAGTTATTTTGGCTCATGGTTTCAGAGGTTTTAGTCCATTGTTAGCGGGCTCCATTGTTTCTGGGGTGGTGGCAGTACATCACGGTGGAAGGGCATGGTGGAGCAGAGCT